AACTGCTCTTTTTCAAGAACAGCTGTGCCAGAACTACGGCTTGCCCAAGGTCATCCAGCCAGGTGCAAGTGGAGGAGTGGGGAATCAAACCCGGTTCTCCCAGATTAGAGTCCGCACACTTAACCACGACACCAAACTGTCTCTCAAGGAAGGAATCTGTGGCCCTGAGTCAGAGCCCATCTTCTGTATGTAAAAGGGTTCTAGATGTGGTCCTTCGCATTTCCACTTGAAGGTCAAGGGGCTTTTCTGTGCCAGAGACGCTGCAGATCTGCTGCGAATCAGAGCAGATGGCGCTGAGCTGAATGGATCACTGGCCTGATTTGTATAAGGCCGCTCCAAGCAGCTCGTGGCGCCAAGAGCCTGGCCTCGCTCTCCAGCTCTGTCTACTACCTCTCTTAGTTTGTATGTCTGAGAACGGCCCTGCAAACATCTGCGTAGACATATCAAGGCAGGAGGGGCGAGGTCTTTTCACAGATGCCAGGGCCGGGCCGTCCCTAATAGCCTCTTGACGGCAATTCACGTGCATTCAAACTTAACCACGACACCAAACTGTCTCTCAAGGAAGGAATCTGTGGCCCTGAGTCAGAGCCCATCTTCTGTATGTAAAAGGGTTCTAGATGTGGTCCTTCGCATTTCCACTTGAAGGTCAAGGGGCTTTTCTGTGCCAGAGACGCTGCAGATCTGCTGCGAATCAGAGCAGATGGCGCTGAGCTGAATGGATCACTGGCCTGATTTGTATAAGGCCGCTCCAAGCAGCTCGTGGCGCCAAAAGCCTGGCCTCGCTCTCCAGCCCTGTCTACTACCTCTCTTAGTTTGTTATGTCTGAGAACGACCCTGCAAAGATCTGCGTAGACATATCAAGGCAGGAGGGGTGAGGTCTTTTCACAGATGCCGGGGGCCGGGCTGTCCCTAATAGCCTCTTGACGGCAATGCACGTGCATTCAGATTATGCTTCCCACCCGTCTTTTCCCTCTCGTTCTGTTTCTGCAGTGTCATCACAGGTATTTGCATCCTGGCTGCTGCTACAACAGCTTTCTGTTATCTGTATAGTATCTGGTCTCTTTCTGTACTGTGCCTGCAAGGCTTCCTCTGGCATTTCCTCGTGGCTGAATCCTCCTCCAGTCTGGGCCAGAATAGGCTGAGTTTTATTCTGAGTTGAGAGCCAGTTTGGTGTAGTGGTTAAGTGTACGGACTCTAATCTGGGAGAACCGGGTTTGATTCCCCACTCCTCCACTTGCACCTGCTGGATGACCTTGGGCAAGCCATAACTCTGGCACAGCTGTCCTTGAAAAAGAGCAGTTTCTGTGAAGAGTTCTCTCAGCCCCACCTACCTCCCAGGGTGTCTGTTGTGGGGAGGGGAAGGGAAAGGAGTTTGTAAGCCGCTCTGAGACACCTTTGGGTAGTGAAGGGCAGGGTAGAAATCCAATCTCTTCTCTTCTTCTTTTACCTCACAGGGTGTCTGTTGTGGGGAGGGGAAGGGAAAGGAGTTTGTAAGCCGCTCTGAGACTCCTTCGGGTAGTGAAGGGTGGGGTATATATCCAATCTCTTCTCTTCTTCTTTTACCTCACAGGGTGTCTGTTGTGGGGAGGGGAAGGGAAAGGAGTTTGTAAGCCTCTCTGAGACACCTTTGGGTAGTGAAGGGCGGGGTATAAATCCAATCTCTTCCTCTTCTTTTTCTTCTGGAGAATAACAGAAAGTGAATCGCCGTGTTAAAGGGCGGTTCTGCTACAGAGGCGCATTCTTTTGCCTAAGCCCCTACTTACGTGCAGGTGGCTCGGGCAAAGGCCGTTCAGACCAGGAGGAGGGAACAGTCCGATGGCCCAAGAAGGTAGTCCATATATGGTCTCCATATCCGAGGCAGTTCTTTCCAGGGCCCCTAACTGGCCACCGTATCTTTGACACGCATACCCCCGTGCAGGGGGTTTCCCCGTGGGACAGCCTGAGTCCAGCCAAGCATCGGGGTACTTTTCTCTCTGACTCAGAGTCGATCCTTTGGCCCAAGCAGCTGTGCAGCAAGCAGGAGAAGAGATAGGACGGCGTGGGGGCCACCCCACACCTTGATCAGGTGCCTGCATAGGTGTGCTTGAGCCTTGGTGAATCTTTGACCCCTTCCCACCCATAGAGAGCACAGCAGATAGGGGCCATCAGCTTCCCTTCTTGAAATCCTGGGCTCCTTTGCTTGCAGTCCAGTAAGCGTCCCTCAGCATTTCCACTTGAGGGGGGAACAGCAGGGAGGAAGGAGATCACTAAATGGGCTGAACGTAGGGTTGGGTGAAGCCAGTTACATTTGCCAGCAGGTGGCGCTGTGGACAGCGGATTCAGGGGCTGCCCGAAAGCGCCGGGCAGATGTTCTAATGTGATTTTTATAGGTTTATGTTTCATTGGGAGCCGTCACCATGGAAACTGAGGTTTGCAGAGCACCGGTTGTAAATTTGTGGTTTAACGCTTTCACGGCCGGGCCGATTCTGTGCGGTCGGATGGAATATGAATGGAGAGCGCAGCCTCGGGGTCCTGCCCTCCGTAGCAGAGAGAGCCGTGAGAGGCTTCGGGCGCTGACGGGGAGGTTGGAGACCAGCAGGCAGCACAGGGAACGGACATGCAGAAAACTGCTGGATCCGGCTGAAGAATTCATCCACCAGATCCTTTTTCTTTTCAAAAAAGCACAGCCGTTTCCACACCACATCCAGTCCCCACCTTTCAAAGGGACGTGGAAGGTTTTACTGGCACTCCCCTCGCCAAGGGGCCCTCCCCTGTCCTTTGTCTTCTGCCCCCACCCCGAGATGGGCAAGAGAGGGCCCTGACAGCGCCCAGGGGGGATTGTCTGCTCTGGCACGTGGTCTCTGGACCAGCAGCAGGCTTGTTGCTGGGGAGAGCAGAGCATCTGGGAGGCCGGGCTAATCTGCTTAATGTCCAGAGCACTGCAGAGAGCGGAAAGAGATTAATGGGGTGGGGGAGCTTGGCGCACTCGTGACCTGGGGTGGGATGTGTGTGCACAGATCCCATCAAAGTGAAGGACAGCAGCAGAACAGGCTGGCAGCTGGGCCCTTGAAAGACGGCCAGGACCCTGCGGAGGGTGGGGGTGGGAGAGATGCCATCCCAAGGGGATTCCGCCCGACCCCGTCTTGCCAGTGGAAGCCCCGGAGCATCCAAAGGGCCCGGATCCATCTGAGTACATGAATGGCAAGAATGGGCTTTATAGCCCCGCCCCGCCCACATCCGCCCTATTTGTTTATTAGTTCAGTTTCTACCCCATCGTCCCCGCCAAAGCAGGCTCGGGGCGGCTTTCAAAAGGATAAAACATAAGTAAGCAATTGTAGACATAGATAGAACCAATTTAGAGGCAATCCACAGTCATAAAGTGCTAGCTAGCCGTTAGTTCAGTTTCTACCCGTCCTCTCCACCAAAGCAGGCTCGGGGCGGCTTTCAAAAGGATAAAACACAAGTAAGCAATTGTAGACGTAGATAGAACCAATTTAGAGGCAATCCACAGTCATAAAGTGCTAGCTAGCAATGTTCCCTCTAAGCTGTGGAGTCTTGTGAGCAAAAATTCAACTTTGTGAGCTACTGGCATTAAAGTTGTGAGTGAGCCATTTGGCTACGCATAAATTAGTCTGCTCTGGAGCCATCTTTCCTGAGCTAAGACAAAAATGTGTGAGCTGGAGGCTCAAAAACGGTGAGCTAGCTCACACTAACTCAGAGGGAACACTGCTAGCTAGATATATATGTGTATGTGTCTGTGTGTGAATGCTTCTATATTTTTTTACACCTGTAACAGTGAAGACTGCCACAAACAGGTTGTCCTGGTGCTACAGTAGAGAATGTTCACAAACACTCTAGCTCCTTGGAGGAACGGAGCTGTCAAAATGATCACAGTTTAACTCCTGTAAATGCCTTAATTTTATTCGAACAACAATTTCAAATATATCCAGTCATATGTGTGTGTGTGTATATAAACAGAAACCAGCAACACTGTGATGAATAAAAGGAAATATTTAGTATCTAGACTAGAGCTGTGGTGGCTCAAGTGGTTAAGACGCTGAACTGCAGGCTGGGAGGTCGGTAGTTCAGCAGTTCAAGACCCGGGTGCCGCATGATGGAGTGAGCTCCCATCTCTGGTTCCAACTCCTGCCAACCTAGCAGTTCGAAAGCAAGAAATTGCAAGTAGATAAATAGGTACCGCTTTGGTGGGAAAGGTAACAGCGTTCCGTGCGCCTTGCCATTTAGTCATGCCGCCCACATGACCACGGAAACATCTTCGGACAGCATTGGTTCTTCAGCTTGCAAGCGGCCACATGACCACGGAAACATCTTTGGACAGCGTTGGTTCTTCAGCTTGGAAATGGGAGATGAGCACCGCAACCCTAGAGTCGGATTCGATCGGCTTTTGAGCAAGGGAGACTTTTACCTTTACCTTTAGACTTAAGAAACAATGCAAAACCCTGTAAAGTTGGGAGAAAGGAATCTAGTCAAGTGAAAGGGGAGAGAAGACCTTCTTTGATCTCACCTCCTCGTACTGCTCTGACCTCTTCGGGGCAGAGTCTCCTTTCCTCTGTCCTCGGATGTTCAGAAATTGTATGTGGGGGGGTGGGCCTGCTTTCAGGACTACGCCCCTTCAGACAACCGGTGGAGGGCTGCAGGTGCGAACGCTTCTCTCGGACAGGAAGCGCTTCTCCTTGTTATGTGAACTTTCCTCCTTATTTAACCGAAAGACACATTTGAATGTGTGATTTCTCTCACACACACCCCCACACACAATTCCCTGCACTCTGAGAGGGTATGAGTCACGCGATGCTTATCTATATTTGAATGGGGCCTGAGGATGATTCCTCTCTTGCGCCGTGATGTAGGTGAGAGTCTCGGGAGAGGAGCGTTCCCTTGACACTCTGTGTGGGCAAAGTCAGACGTGCTGTCTTTTGCAGTTAGGACAGGGGCCGCAGGGAGGACGGGGGCTGTCGACAGAAGTCTCCATTTTATTTTATTTTTTCCTCCCACTCTTGCAGAAGGTGATGAAACCGGAGTCATGGACAGTCTACTAGAGGCCTTGCAGTCAGGAGCGGCCTTCCGTAGGAAAAGAGGACCGCGCCAAGGTAAGCGTTGCTCTGAACTCACGTCCTTCCGGGAAGCGGAATGGGGTTTGCTCTTTCACCCTTTCCTTCCGAGCCAGTGGCAAGAACTCCATGTAGAGAGACAAAACCTTGGTCCCTGGAAAGGACTTCCTGCCTCACCCCGCTGAGGGATGTCCTGCTGATAGCGGCCTGCTTTGGTGTCTCCTCCAGCTGCTGCTGATGCCGGCAAGCCACTGTGATGCGGCAGACCGGAGTGTTGGATCTGAGTCCCTCCTTTGCCTCGGCACTCCCGGGACTGCCTTGTGCCAGTCACTCTCCCTCTAGTCTACACAAAGGTGTTTTTCTGAGGGTAAAATGGGAAAACCTCATGCTTACAGCCCTCTCCCGCCTCCTCTCTTTTTCTCTCTCAATGTCACTTCTCAGCCTTCTGTCCCCTTTAAAGAACCCAAGCGGGGACAGGGGCCTATGGACTTATGGGGTCTCCAAGGTCTCTTCTTTCCCCCATAAAAGGGAACAGCAGCTGTCCATGTCTAGGGTGGGATGGCAAGCAAAACACTAGCCACTGGGGCAACATTGCAGTGAGTGCAAAAGATGCTCAACAGTGGATACTGGCATGACCTCCTATTACAAACCCCCTGTGACCCTGTAAGTCTCTAGTCTCTTCTGTTGCGGAGATGTAAGAGGAAAGGCATAGCTCCACAATAAGAGGGGATAGAGACTTACTTTTTTAAAAAAGCTGGGAATTCAGAGAACCTGATAGATACATAGTTATAATGTTATAGTGATATTTAAAAACCCCTCACCCGTGGTGGGGGTACAGACCAGGGGTGGTCTGGCCCTCGCTGTCTGGTACCCCATTGGGCCTGCAAAATGCGGCTCTGCCTCCACTCACATACCCATGATGATGACATGTCGTTTGGCTGCCATTTATTCACTGAGCATGGTGGTAAGGTGCAGAGTGAGCCCAGCTTCAGGAGTGTGATGAGCCATTATGGAAAGAAGTCAAACTCTCCTTCCCACCTGACAAAACGTGGCTGGATCCCCCCCTCTCCTCAACACAGAGCTTGTAAGCATTATGCCCTTCAGCATTAAAATATTCTTGCACCTCAGTCAGGAACTGGAAAAGGGAAGTCTGCTGAGTCTTTACACCAAGGTGGCGGGATATGTTCTGAACTGTCTTCAGTCTCTGCCTGTTGGGCCCGCTGCAGTGTTTTTCACAGGGGACGGATTTGTGCAGTTTTCCCATTGCTGCTGCAGTTGCTGATAACTGCACCACAGCAGTGGGGCTTCTGCGAGTTCCCCCATATTTTCCCCCCTCCGGCCCACCCTTACCAACAGCACTTTCCCAGTTTTTTGTTTTAAATTGACAATTGAATATCATTAAAGGAAGTCTCTAGTCTCTTCTGTTGCAGAGATGTAAGAGGAAAGGCATAGCTCCACAATAAGAGGGGCTAGAGACTTACTTTTTTAAAAAAGCTAGGAATTCAGAGAACCTGATAGATACATAGTTATAATGTTATAGTGATATTTAAACCCCCTCACCCATGGTGGGGGTACATGGCTGCCGTGTGGGTGGAACCCGGAAAATCTGTACTTCCCTGCCTACATTGCAACTTTCCAGGCTTTGCTGCAGCGTGTCCTGGAACTTTGCAGCAAACCAGGTTTGGGAAGGATTGGAGAAAAGCCCAGTAAAATCTGGGTGGTGGTGGTGAATGAATGTACCACGATGCTGTAGGAAAGTGAGGGGGGGGGGGACTACTTCCCTAGAGCCTGGTATATAACCTGTGTGGTGAAGACCCTCCTCTCTGTAGCCAAATCCAGGGGAGAACCTTGCAACTAGCAAGATCCTGGAATGGTTTAAGCCAGAGGTGTCGAACTCATTTGTTATGAGAGCCGGATCTGACATAAATGTCACTTTGTCGGGCCGGGCCATGTGTGCCATAAAATGTAATGCTGGGTACCGGAGATATAAACTGTATAAAGGACAGAAGCTGGTAAGCTCTGAGTTGGTGTATTCTCACTGCATGGCCCCGTGGGCTGGGAGGGGGGTGCAAAGGGAAACCCACATGGGCGGACTGCCATGCAGCACTGGGTAGGTAGACGCTTTATGCTGCTTGACTGCATCAGGTGAGGTGGTTCCACCATGCTGAAGCCACAATTAAGAGCGGCTCCACCCACTCTCCCTGAGCAGCCCCTCCCTTGCATCAGTGGCTCGTGGGCCGCATAGGAGCCCTGGGCAGGCCGGATCCGGCCCCCGGGCCTTATGTTTGACACCCCTGCTTCAAGCAATGCCTCACTTCCTTGTAGCCAGTTGGCCACAAAGCATTTGTGACAAGCAGCAAAGCAGGACTTTGAAGTGTGATAATCACAGAATACAGCCGTCAGTCCTGGCGTGACTTAAACAGTTACACAGAGGCCAACTACGCTGTTCACACTGGTTTGCCTACAATCCTCGCACTGCAGCAGCAGCTGCAGGGAACTGCGTCTTTTCCTTCTTTCTTTTTAAAAGGAAAGCCTGGATGGGCTCAGAAAGGCACCGTGGGGAGAGGGAAAGGCTTCTGCCTCCCCCCCCCCCAGCAGTTTTCTTATGAAAAAACCATGGTGGGGACCAATGTTCCCTCTAAGCTGTGGATTCCTGTGAGCAAAAATTCTACTTTGTGAGTTACTGGCATTAAAGTTGTGAGTGAGCGATCTGGCTCCTGCATCAATTAGTTCGCTCTGGAGCCATCCTTCCTGAGCTAAGAGAAAAATGTGTGAGCCGGAGGCTAAAAAACTGTGAGCTAGCTCACACCAACTCAGCTTAGAGGGAACACTGGTGGGAACTTATTTCACTGATTTTGCTTCTCCATGTGCAGCATCTGCATGTAGAGCAGCAAAATCAGTGAAATGGCTGCCTCCCGATGTGTTTTTTGTCTAAGAAAACTTGGGAGGAGGGGAAAAGCGGCGCGGCCCCCCCCCCCCCCCCCCCCGCCGGCACCGTTCTGAGCCCAGTTCGACTTTTTAAAAAGTCCCTTGTAGGTGCTGCAGGGCTGCAGGGGACACAGGCAAACTAGTGGGAACAAGTGACGAAATGTATTGTGTGGTTTGTCTCACAGCCTTTGGTTCTTATTACGCATCCATTTATTTATTTATCTGCATCTATTCAGGGGTCATTTCAAGGGGGAACGAGCCGGAACGGTGTTCTGGAAGTAACAAGCCCAAGAGTAGGGAACCCAGGCAGGCAGGCAGGCATGCCCCTTTTCCCCCTGAGCCTCTCCGCTTTTGCGGAAAAACTCGGGGAAGGGGGGGGGGGTTAAATGCCGTTCTTTCCCTTCCCCATCTGGGGAAGAAAGGCATTTTAAACATGCCCGGGTTCCCTGCCCGATCTTCTCCAGGTGCCCCTGGAGAAGATCAGGCAGGGAACCCAGGCATGCTTGCATTGTGTGCCCTTTGTCAGGGGGTGTGGCACATGCAAATAAGTTTTGCAAATGAGTTATGCAAATGAACTCCTGCACCTCTTTTTCTACGAAATGACCCCTGCATCCATGTATTTATTTATTTACTTCCTGTATACCCCACCTTCTGTCCTTTTTATCCCAACAGTCATCCCGTGAGGTAGGTTAGGCTGGGGCTGAGTAACAGACCGGGGGCAGGGTGTGTGTGTTGGTACAGAGAACTCTGCGAAGGAAAGAGAGGATGATCTCTGTCGCACTGTCTTAGCCTTTCTCGTTGCCCTCTCCTGGAGCGGTCTTGTCGGGGCCAGCTGATTTCCATATGGTTTGTGCCAGGAAAAATGCCACAAACCGCTTTCTCAGTCCACACATCATCCATTGCCAGACGAATCCACTACCTGCAAGCTTCTTTGCTTTAAAATGAGTACCTCATTTTTTCTTTGCTTTAAAATGAGTACCTCATTCCCTCTCTGGCTCTGCATGTTTTTGAACAATTGTCTCATGTTGATCCTCCCCTTTGGGCGATCCTCCATAACGGGCAGGTAGCTGCCGGTAGAAAATTTTCTGTTTTTCTAGTACATTTTTATCCTGCCTTTCCTCCAAGGGGCTCAGGGTGGCCAGTGTGGTTCTCCTTTCCCGATTTTACCCCATCACCAACAACCCTGTAAGCAGGAGTCATTTCCTGCAGGAGCGCACAGGAGCGGAGCTCCAGCAGTAAAGAGCCCAGGGGGCGGGCACATGCAACAAGCCCCACCCCCTGCTCCCAGCAGCCCTCAGTCAGAGCAAGAAGCAGCCAGGTAAGTTGCAGAGCCCCCCTGGTCCAAAACAGTCCAGTGGCATCTTTAAGACCAACTTTTATTCAGGTACAAGCTCTCCCTCCTCTGCGAGGACGGATCTGCACAAAAACCCCCAATAGCTAGCAATCCAAAACAGTCCAGTGGAGCCTGAGCGGTGGGTGTTGCCTTCTGACACACTTCTGGTGATGTTAGGGGGTGTGGCATATGCAAATGAGTTATGCTAATGAGTTATGCTAATGAGCTCCTGCACCTCTTTTTCTACAAAATGACCCCTGCCTGTAAGGTAGATCAGGCTGAGAGAGCAACTGACCCAAGGTCATGTAGTGAGCTTCACAGCTAAGTGAGGATCTGAATTTCGGTCTTCCAGACCATTTCCTGATACTGTAATGGCTATGCCACACTGGCACTCAGGTAGGTATGACTTAAGTCTACCCGACGTGTATAGATGCGCAATAGGGGTGACCTTAGGGTTGGATCCGGAGCAAGGACCACACAAGAGTCATCAGTCTTTCTGGCTTTTACCTCCCCCCAGCAAGGTTTATTCCCAGGATTGCAGGACCCACATGTAGTAATAGCTAACCCCCGAGGGGAGGGTTGGAGGTAGAGATGTAAAATTTCCGGAAATTTTGAAGCTCGGAAAAAAACGGAAATTTTCGGAAAAATTGAAAAAAATGCTACATTAGCATTTCTTTTGTCTTTTCTAGTTTGAAAGTCATTCTGTTACTTTAGGAACATAAAATATGACTATGGACATTTTTACTTGGCATGAAATTATTACAACTAGCATATTAAA